GTCTCAAACTCGCAACAATCCTCCTGCCTCAGCCTCCCAGCTGCTGGGATTACAGGCCTGCGCCACCACTCCCGGCAGGCCCAGCTTGATTAGTACCGTGGTATCCCCAGTACCTCAGGTGGCTCTTTTCTTCTTCTTGAGGACCCTGAGGGCAGCAACTGCCGGCCAACCCCAAGGAACTAGCAAACTCCAGGGTTAAGGGAACAGAGGCTTCCAAACAGGCCCCTGCAGTCCCTGATAGGGGAAATCAGCCCCTAGGGGTTCCTCCTGACTGCACTTAAGCAGGGACACTTAAACGGCAATCCCGGGGCTGTCTGCAACCTCTTTCCCACGCTCTGGGAGGCTGTGCCACTACTGGAAGCAGATTAATCCTCCAAGAAGAGACAGTGGATCTCTTAGCCGGCCAGCTCCCTTCCCGCTGGGACCCCTGAGGAGAGCCGTAAGGGACTCAGCATCGTCCCTCCAGGGCACAGCCCCTCTGCAGGCCCATGGTGTTACTCCCTGCCCCCAGGAAAGCCCCAGTCTTCCAAATGGGCAGCATCTGAAAGTTGATGAGTTTCCATTTTTCTTCAATGCAAAAGGCCAAGAGCAGGAAGGAAAGCTAAATGTTGTCAATACTCTTTCTGTGTTAGAGACGGATGATTGTAGAGACGGTGAAGAACAAGATGCAGAGCGCAAATTTCCAGGTGAGCCAGGAAGAGAGGAGAGAGAACAGTAGGTGACCAGCAGGAAACCCAGTGGACAGGAACACCCGATCTGCTGGGTGCAGGCATTTAGCTGGTGGCAGACACAACCGAGCTTGTGGCTTCCTACGGGATTGGTATTGTCATTGTCCCCATTGACAGATGAGGTGTCTGAGGCTCAGAGACTAATTTTTCCAGCGCTGCCCAACTAAACAGGAGAACTCAAGGGAACCTGGTGGGAATCTCCTTCAGATAACAAGCAAGCAGGTCATGACCTTGATCCAGGCTGGGTGGCGTGTGTCTTGACTTTCAAGGAAGCATCCTTGAGAATACTCTTTCTCTTGCCTGAGACTCGAGGCTGCAGTTCACACGTTGCTATTCACAGCTCTGCCTTGGAACCGGAGTTCCCATTCTCATTCCCACCTTGCAGACAAGAGAGACAGGGAGCCGAGCTGTCTGCACTTTGACAGCCCAACACTTTCCAGTTGAGTGGGAGAGAGATGTATTCAGATCTGATAAAAGGCCACAGGGGAAGAAAGTGGTCAGAGGTATCCTGAGACAACAAAATCATGATTGGAGAAGCTAGACAATCTGGTAAGGGACATTCTTGGAAAGCAGAGGCCCCTTCTTGATCAGCATCTTTGTCCTGAGACTAGACAGTGGCTACGTCTCAGAGAACAATGTCAGGAGGCCAGAGAGCATCCTGAGGTCCCCCCTAGGCCTGAGCCCTTCACTGCCCTCCATGGGGACTGAGAGGAGGTTTGTCACCTCAGTGACGAGGTAGTTACCTCAGACCCATGGGAAAGACTGGAGTAGGCAGAAGCCACCTTGCTCCTAGGTTTTGGCCAAGGACTATCTGTAAATATAAGATGACAGAGAAGATACTGGGATGGCCCTGGATGTAGGAATGTTGTGTTTCTCTGAGACACAAGGTCCCTTGGAGTCCCGGGCCTCTATCGGGCTGAAGAGAAGGTAGACAGACTGTGGTTCCACTAGGGGCAGAGTGACTGTCCCCTTCCTCCAGCCCTTCAACCATGGCTTCAAGGTTTAGGGTCTAGGATCTCCACAGTTGGGGTCTGGCCTGACGTGCCGTACAAAGTAGCCACTGGGCAAGAGAACAGTGACCGAAGGTAAGGCAAGGATAGGCTGGCTGGGGCTGGCATTTTTGATCTCTAGCTTTCAAGGCTGATTATTTTCCAGCTATTTTGAGGGAAAGAGGTAGGGGGACAGTAACACTGCTACTGTAATACAGTATATGCTAAAGAGGAAAATCTTCTAGTTTCTGGTCTTCTACAGAATCTCTTACAAATATATTGAGTACTTAGCCCAGGCTACTAGGGTACTGGGCACTGGGCACTGGGCACTGGGCACTGGGGAGAGGAGAGGAAATAAAAGAGGCGCTGTTCTGGCCCTCAGCCATTCAACAGACATTCCTAGAGCTTGTGCCATGGCCCTTACTGGCCAGGTGTCAAAGTCAATCACACATTCTCAATAAAAGCACGCTGATTCTTTAAACATATAAGGCAAAAATATACAGGGTGAGCGACCCTGACCTGAAAATCCAAACCAAACATGCTCTATAATTTGAAGCTTCTTGAATATCGACGTGATATCACAAGTGGAATATTCCAAACTTTGTGCCATGCATAAATTATTTAAAATACTATATTAAATTACCTCTGGCTATATGTACAAGACCTATATGAAGCATAAATGAATTTCATATCTAGACTTGGGCCCATCCCAAAATGTCTGGTTATGTATGTGAGGATATTCCAAAATCAGGAAAAATGCAAAGTCTGAAACGCTTCTGGCCCCAAGCATTTTGGGCAAGGAATACTCAATTGTGTGTGTGTGTGTGTGTGTGTGTGTGTGTGTGTGTGTGTGTACACATACGTATATCTGAGATGTGATGGGAAAATGCAGTATATATTTACAATTTTTAAAAATGATTACAGTAAAAAACATATCACCAAATCCACTCTCAAAATATTCCACCTTGCCTGGAGCACACTTGTCCCATCATTCTTGCTACTTCCTGAAGCAGTTCTAGAGTACTCTTTCATGAGTGTCTTTAGTTCCATTGTCATGGCTGCCTCAGTGGCCTGAAGTGATCTGTAGATATTCCTCAAAATGCTTACTTTCCATGAGCCAGAATTGGATGGTGCCTGATCTGGTGAATAGGGTGGATAAGAACATGCTGTAATATTCTCGTAAGCAAGCCTTTCCGTTGGATGGCACTTAGCAGCGGCATTCGCCATGTTCTGTATCACACCTTGTAAAGATACAAGAGGAACTCCACAACTGCTTTGAGATGTGGCAAATGATGGGACAAGTGTTTTTGAGGCGAGGGGGGGCATTTTGAGGAAGATTAATGGCAATGTGTCTTTTACTGTAATATAATTTTTATTCAAACATTCACTGTATATTTTGATCATCCCTTATAATATGGTGCTATCTGTAATATTAAATTTTCATAGAACTGAGATGGATTAGGAAAAAGTTGCTACAGCCAGCAGAGGAGGGCAATAATGAAAAAGGGGTTGAAAAGCACACAGCCAGATCAGTGCAAACAATAAAAGTCCCTACCTGCCTGGCTTATGGTCTTAGGGCTATTAAGAAAAAAAAAAAGTAAATACAAGTACTAATTAAATAATTATTTTGGGCAAAGTACTCTGAGGGCAAAGGCCAGGGGCAGGAGCTCAGGAGGAACCCACCTAGTCCCCAGCCTCTCCCAGACAGGAAGTCAGTCTACACCTCCCCCTGAGGCTGCCCAGCAATGGGCTGGGGCTTCCAGTTGCCTGGACCACCCACCCCAATGTGTGCAGTGACCTTCCACGTGGGGGTGACAGTTCAGATGACCGGGCTCTGTCCCTTGGGGTGAGCACACAGTTCCAAAGCCCTGGATGCGTGGCACACTCCTGGAGGCTTTCAGGCTGGGCTCCACCATGTCCCCAGCCCTCCCTGCCCACATGTGCGGGGTGACATTCCTCCGCCTCCCCCTCCCGGGTCAGTCATCCCCTCCCTGTCACACTGCCAAAGAAAGAATCAAAGCTCTTTCTGCCCCAAGCCCCTGGCAGGGCTGCGGGTAGCGGCTGCTGGTTATTTTTAACCAACTTTCTGACTCCAACTCCAGCAGCCGACCCCACAGCAGGTCAGGGCACTGGCATTTGAGAGCCACCCACAGGCAGCAATTGTGGTCAAAATCAAATAAACAGGAGTAGAAGGACGGGCTGTGTAGAGAGGGAAAGTTTATGACATTTGTTGTTTTCTTTCTCCTTGGGCTAGGGACCAGTATTTACTTGGTGGATCACTGTAGATATTTTAGCCTTTCTCACCCTGAAACCATGCTGAACGCAGGGTTTCAAAATGCATTTAAGGCTCCCCTGGGCCTAGAAGGGGGCCTCGGGAAAGGGGTTTTATACCTGTCTCAAAGTGGAAAGAGCCTAAGAGGTAGCACTTCCATTCCTGGTCCTTATTCAACAAGTGAGGAAACAGAGGGTTCCATAGTCCATGACAGAGCTGGGATGCAGCTCGGCTCCCAGCCCTGTTCCCCCAGGGGTGTGTGTGTGTGTGTGTGTGTGTGTGTGTGTGTGTGTGTGTGTGTCCACTAAAGATTGGAGTAAAAAACGTGCGATTTAAATCCTATTGGACAGAAACTCAGAAGTCACAGTAGTATCTGGAGTATGTACATGGGATGGGAAAGAGATTCTGGGGCTTCAGTGAACAAAAAGGGGGTCCTTATAAAGACACAGAAATGAGTGCCTTGTACATGCCATGGAAGAGAACTGGTGAGCTGGCATCCCAGGCAGCACCACACACATGCACGTGCGCGCACGCACACACACACACACACACACACACACACACACACAGTGTTCTCTCTGAGCATCTACACCTGCTGGCCTCTCTCTCCGGCCATGTGACAGGAAGGGTGTGAACAGCATCTCAGAGCCCATGACCACCAGTCCTGGGAGGGACTATCTGAAAAGCCCAGCTGCTGCCAAGTGACCAAGCGCCTCTGACCTAAGGGTAGAGGAAAGAAAAAGGGAGTAGGGTGTGATGTACAGCTACAGGGGTGTCCCCCCAACCCAGGAAGGTGGGGAGTGCTGAGAAAAGGCCTAGACAGACCCCTCCATGAACAGCCTGCATTTTCTCTTAACCCATCAGAAACATAGGACACCTTCAATTCAGCGACAGCTAGTCAGGGGAAACTCCACCACTGTGAGTGTGCTCATCACACGAAGCTTCTGGCTTCTAAAGCCGGAAACGTGAAGATACAAAAGGGGACAGCAACATCTGCACACCCAGATGGGTGCACCCCGAACGTTAATGGGCTCCTTAGGGTACCATGTTAATGGTGAACCATCTTATCTCCTCCTTGGAGATAGATACATAGATACATAGATGATACATAGATACATAGATATATAGATGATAGAGACATAGATAGATGATAGAGACAGATTAGATAGACAGATAGATAGATAGACCTTTTTAAACAACAAACATCTTCTTTTGTGTACAAAAACATGACTATTTGTGAGGCACATTTTGGGATCTCACTGCAGTTATAGAGTTTTGTTTGTTTGTTTTTTGGGTCTTGGGGGGAATTTTTTGCCTCTTGTTTATTGAAGGTTGGAGCCAAGAGAACCACCTTAAAGATGGACAAAGAAAAAGACATGAAGAGAGAAACGTCCAGCAAATCCAGCCAGAGTCTTTTGTCTACTAACCCTGGAGGAAGGAGCTAAGAAAACTTCGCTTCACCTGGGCTCCAGCAGTACCTCTGTGAGTCAGCGTGACTCTCACGCAGTAGGACTTTAAAGCTTGTTACCCTAGTGTTTGGCTTTCTAGACTGGTGTTTTGCACAGTATGTACTTTGGAGTGTGGGGTACAGGGTTTCCTTTGTACATACCTGTGAATGTAGATGTACTCAAGTATATGAAGAGATTCTTTATAACCCAGGCTCCTAGCCTGGTAGCTACATCATATAGTCCTGCATTTGACCCAAACATCACATAGTCCTGCATATAGTCCCAAACATCACACCCCCAAGGAGCCCCACAAGACCACAGTGGAGAAAACCTAAGACCTGTCCTGCAGCCCCAAGGCAGAGGGGAACCTCAGGGCTCTGGGCCATGGGATAGTGACTTCATGTCTGAGTGTACTGTATTATAATAAACTTAGAATGCCAATCTGTTTTAGTACTTCTGTAATAATGACTGACATGTCTATGGCCCTCAGCAGTTTTCAGAACACTTCTCATTTAATCCTTCTCTGAGCCCTGGGGAGCTGAATGGAATTGTGTTCCCTCTTTTACAGACGAGGAGGTTGAAGCCCAGGGAGGCCCTCTGGCCTGCCTAAGCTCACACAGCTAGTAGACTCAGCAGCTGGGTGCTGAGCACCAATTTCTAGTTCTAAGTCCTACTGTCCATTCTGCTACGCCAAGATGGCCCAGTCACTCTAGTCCAGGCCACAAGGACATGCCAAGTTTCCAGTCATTAAAGAGCGTGTACTGCCCAGGAGGACACGCTCCCTTCCCATGGAGTTTGGGAAGACCCTTGTGCCCCGTTTCTCTCACACCCTGCCTTCACTCCAGCCATCTGTTCTCGCCCCACCTCTCTTCTCTGACAGGATAGAGCCAAAAGTCATGAGTCCAACTGATTTTTTTTTTCTTTGAAAAATCCACAATAAAAAATATTTTTGTATGTTAAAACCAAATGTATTCTTTATACTAACTTAACCTCAGGGGAAATAGAGGACCCTCTTGGAAGGTATACCTCACATAGTGCCGGTATGTAAAGTCAATGAGAAAGATAAGCTTTACTTACCCTTTAAAAGTCTCCTGAAAATCTCCAAACTTTACCCTGCACCTTATCTCCAACCTCCAAAAAAGAAAGTTCTTCTCCCACACTAGACCAGATGACTCGGTTAAGCAGCAGTTCAAGCAGCTGACATGTGACTGGGAATCAAATTGTGTGAAAAATATGTCATTTGTTTGTCGAACATGTATATTAGGATTTGCATATGTAAATTAATGCCTTATGACTCCGCTGTGTGTTAGGCCTTTCAAAGGACATGTGAATGTTTATCATTTCAACATATCAACCCACAGTGGCAGTTTATTCTTTTCACACCTTTGAGCTGGAGAGGTCTTTAGTGTCTCCTCAGCCACACCCTCCCTTCCCTGAGCAACAACTCCACCAACCTTTGGCACCACAATACACTTTGGCTGCAGCTGATTGGCTGGGTAGTAGATACTCAGCCATACCAGACCAATCAGAGATTTCCCTCCTAATTCTTGTTGATCCAATCAACACCTCCGTCTTTGGTATTTAAAAGTGGAACACCAGGAAGCCATTCAGGTCCTTAATGGGCTGAAGCTGAGATTCTGGTGCAGTTCTGGGACGGGATGGCCATTTTCCCCTATGTTCAGAGAAGCAAAGTCAGCCTGCAGAAAGAGAAGCTGGAATAGATAGCCCGTGAGTAGAGACTAGGAACCCCAGAACCCCAGAGACACAGTGCAGTGAGTGCTACAGGTACTAACCAGACACTGAGGAGCAGACACTGAGGCTGCTTAGTCACGGCCATGCATGGCCTTCCTCTGTCACAGCTAAATGCCCCCATTTTCCCGCCTCCCTTGCAGCTAGGACAGGCCATGCTATACAGCTCAGGCCACGGACACATAAGTAAAAGCCCCTTTTAGGGCTTCCCTTCTGGAATAAGAGGTAAGCTTCCCTAGGAGGACCATTCCACACTCTGTCCTTTTCCTGGTCTTTTTCTTTCTTTCTTTCTTTCTTTTTTCATGCCTGGTGCTCAGATTGAGAGCAAGAGCAGCTGCTTTAGGGCTCACCAGGTGCCATCTGCCATTGACAATGGAGTGGAAGGACAAGAGGGGTTGGGTGGGGCCCGGTGGCATTTCTGAGCTCTGGACCCTGAACTTCTTGTAGAGGACAAATAAGTCCTTCCCTGTGTAAGTCACTATTGTTAGGTATGTTTGCCCAAAACTTCATAATTGAAAATATCCAATATTATTTCTCAGGATCCCATGGGTCCTGCTGTGCACTTTTACTGTCTAGGCTGGCATGGCTGAGGCTGGATGGTTAGGGTAACCTCACTTCCTGCTGCCGGTGGAAGCACCCGAGGAGACATTTGACAGTGTTTGGACGTCATGTTGATTGTCACAATGAGGGCAGGAGGATTCTACTGTTATCTCATGGGTAGAGGCCAGAATCCTGCTAACATCCTACGGTGCGCAGAACAACTCCCCAGAACAAAGGATCATTTCATCTTAAATGTCAGTGGCAGTGAAGTTGAAACATTGGCCTAGAGAGGCCTTGGCTGGGACACCTTGTCTCAGCTGAGCACAGTCTCTCATTACCCAACAAGCCAGACCAGGCTTGTCCACATGCTGGCGGTCACAAGTTCCCAAGAGCGAGCCTGGTGCTCCAGTACTTTTCAAGTCTCTACCTGCCTTGTTTGCTCGTTTCCCACCTGGCCGAGCCAGAGTCAGTATGGGAGGGGCGCCAGAATTTTACCATCTGCGCATGTTGGGTTTCTGTTATTTGAAGCTTTATATAATCCCAACGGATGCAGAAGGAGAAAGCGGCCTTGACGGCTGGTGGCACCCTGGTTCCTGCGGCCTTTCCATGTGAAGGTCAGTTTCAGTGCCTACCTTTGGGTTCCACGAGGGCCCCTTCTAGCGCTCAAAGTTCCTTGGTTTCAAACAACAGAAATCTCCCGAGGCTGGCAGGCTGAGGGGAAGTTCGCTTACTGAAAGGAAATGCGGAAGGTTGGAGCGTCAAAGGCTACACAGAGCCGAAGTCAGACTTGACAGCCAGGGACTGGCTTTTCTTTCCCCATTTATGTTCTGTTTTTGATTCCACCGGTCTGTGTTATTTGTAACCAAACTGGCCTTTACAGAGACACTTGTCTACTGTCCTCACTGGTGGATCTGAGGATGCTCCAGGCAACCTTTCCTTGAGGGGTTGTGCTGAAGTATAATGAGGCACCTGCAGTCCCTCCAAACCGCCCCATCGCCTCGCTGCTCCTCCAAGAAGCTACAATTTCTTTCCGCCCTTGCCAGTGGTAGCCACATGGATTCCTGCAGTCGTGACTTTGCAGATAAGGTGCCCTTCTCTCACAACCAGGCAGCATCACCAGCGCCTGCTGTTGCAGAAATCAGAGCCATGAAATGTCTGGGGGAAAAAATAGCTTCCGGATCTGCATTCCAGAGCGTGCTCCTGGGAAGTGTAGTGGTTTCCAAGATTTTAGGGGCTCGGGAATGAAAGCAATATAATAACAAGCAGCAGAAACCCAAGCCCTGTTGATCCTCATGAGTCCCTTGTGTCTCCTGTTGGTGCAGAGACCTGCTGAGCAGGAGGTAGGGCGCCCGGTGAGGGGGACACTATTTCGGTTTATCGGCTTGGCCTCGTTTCCATCAAGATGTACCGCTCACATCCGTCTGCTCTATGTCCCCAGTTATTTTGGGCCAACACATGACCTTCTGTGCCTGGTTTTGTTTTTAAACATTTCTCTTCGCCCATCTGTTCCCCCAGGAATCCTCCGTCCTGTGATCCTTGCTTTGAGTTCCCTCTCATCTGTATCGTGCCAATTTCCTGGCTAGACCAACATCCCGCATGCAGAAAGAATGTTACATTCTGGCTAACTGCGGTCTTCTCATCAGAGAGCCCAGAGGTGCCCGTGGACTGGCAAGTCACCTTGCTGGTAAATAACCAGCTTGCATTCACCCAGGCAACACAAGCTGGGTACCTATTAAATACTGCATGGCCTTGACCCTTGCCCCTATTTGACATTCTAATCTACTGCTCCAACGGACAGGGCGTTGGAAGCAGTTTCCTGGGTATGCTATGTAGGAGAGCCCTATCTTTGACACTCACACATTTTTTGGCTTTGTTTTTTTTTTTTTTTTTTT